GGCACCGGCCGCGTCCACCCCCGCCCGGCCCGGCTGGGAGGGGCGCGGCGCTCTGCAGGAGCCCCTAGACCCCCGCCCTGTCCCAAAACATCCCTGCCAAACCCTGTGCTCCCGGCCCGGGAGCGCAGGCCGAGGTGTGCCGGGGGCCTCTGCCCCCCTCCCGGGGTCTTGGGGGAAAAGCTGCAAGTGACAGGCATGTGTGATTAAACCATTTCAAGCAGCTGAGGGCATGCTTTGAGTGCAAGCCTGGCTCTTTTTTTTTAAGGTTAGACGCTGTTTTCTAAGTTTAAAGGGAAGTGGGATCTTGAATAGAAGTTAAATAACTGTGTGTCCCTTGAAGCTTGAACTTTTCTTTTCAGCTCATTCTGTTGCCGTGATATTTCTCTAGTGAAAGAACACCTGAAACGGGGCTTTGGCACGCAAAGCGAACTCTCCAGTCTGGGAACAGTAATTCCTGTGTTATGAGGAGGAAGTCTGCGATTCACTTGAGAGATCTCATTTTCTGGCGTTCACTGCTTTGTTCTTTGTTACAAGGATCTCATGATCAATGGCAGAGCCAAGTGCGTTAGATACGCTTCCAGTAACAAGCTGGAAGTATAAGGAATGAAAGAAAATAAAAACTAAGCACCAGCCTCTATGCTATGTAGCTCTGTCATTTTGTAGATATATTGTGGTTCTGAGCTGTCTGTGGAAGGCTGTTCTTGTCCAGTTGACCTTGAAGTCCAGTTTTTGTTATGCGAATGGAAACAGACGTGTTCTAGTTCCTTTCCTGTTGACGTTTTCGTATTTAACCTGTTGGCTCTGAGCCCAGTGTACTAGTCTAATTTCAAATGTTAGAAGAAAGATGCTTGTTCATTGCTAAGATTTAGAAGGTTCCATCTCTAAATGTGCTTGTGCCATAGCTAGAACGGCACAAGAATTTTTCCTTGGGATAAAGGCTAGCTGATACTGCAAATTGGTCTTGAATCTCTTTGAGTAGTGAGAGGTGTGGCCTTTGAGGTACCTTCTCATCTTAAACTGTACCCTGCTTCCTCTGCACAGATTGAGGAGGGGGATGCTCACATGAACGCACCTGTCATAACGCCTTCATCTTCCACTGAAAGTGTGAACAAGGTTCCTGTGGTGAAGGCCAAGGCCACTCATATCATCATGAACTCTCTCTTCACAAGTAAGAACTCTTGTCTTTATGTAATGTGATGCCCAACAGGTCACGGGCATAGGAGTGTACGCTAGCTTGGTAATGCCTCAGGGGGACTACCAGAGTTCCTGGGCAGTTTGATACTGTATAAGTTTTTGGAGGGCACTTCTTGAAGGAAGTGAGGAAGTAGGTAAAAGGCCTCACTTACTGCCTCTGCATTTTCAGGTGTTGGAGTTGGGGGGTGAGGGAGGAGTGCAGTGACTGTTATCTGCTGATAGGGTCTTGCAGTCCAGACCACCTTTTTGCTTGAAATACAAGGGCTGGTGCTGCTGCTATCATGTGTTTGCTTATTAACTTTCTGTTCCTGACTGATAAGCGAAGCTCTAAATCATGCCAGCTCTCCACATCACTTTGGTTTATTTAGCTAATAGAGCGCTTGCTGGCATTTATGTTAGTTAATAGTAGCAACTGTCTTAGTAACAGCAACACTTGCTTTTAAAACAGCTCTCATGAATAATGAGGCTTTAAAATTAACTTGGGTCAGTTATGTGGGCAGAGAGCATTTGCCCATTTGCAGCAGGAGGAGCTATTCATGTGTTACTGCCCCTACTGCTGCTTCTTTTAACAGCTGGGATCCAAAGTTTCGTTTTTCTTTTTCTCCAGGCAGAGCTTCCAATGACTGAGGTTTGTTTTGGACATTGTTCCAGCATTTTGGAACGTCTTTGAACTTGCAGTTGTCTGTCTTGGCTCAAAGATAACCAACATACCTGAATAATATCTAGAAATACAGACCTTGTGCTGGAAAGCAGCTTCTGTTCCAGTCTAATGGTAGTATTGTAATCTAGTTAAAAACATGATGATCTAGAAGTTTCTTGTGCAGTAGTAATTCAGGAGTCCCAACCTACACATCCCAGGAAAAACTTCAGGCAATTTTGAAGTAAACAGGCAAAGGTTATGTGTAAGCTCTCTAGATTTCTGATGTTTGCAGGGATGGTGCATTGTATATAGCTTCAACTTCAACTTGAGAAGTGCTATCCTTATCTATTACAAAGGAGACATTAAGCGTTTTCAGTAACTTTTTTTTTGGTGCTCTAAGTCCTGTTAAACTTGTTCTTGGTTCCACTAGAGAGTAAACATCCTATGCTGACAGAAGGTCACTTAAAATCTACAGTTTATTGGGGTCTCTGAGATTTAAGGAAGCTTTAGTCAGGAGTGATGCAGCTTCCTGGATCAGATGGATTTAATTACAGGTGTTGTGTTTGTGATACCCCCTGTGATTTGGGAACAGTCGTTGCTCATCTGACTCAGTTAAGCGTATGACTTGGGATACTTTTCAAGACGCAATAAGTCTAGTTTCATCTTGCTGCCTCTGTCAGCTCATCACAATGCATAGGTATGAGTGATGAGAACTGGCTGGGTCTTATGTTTAGTTGCTCAAGCTGCCTTTGTGTTTGCCAGAACTGCATGTGGTGGTGTTTCTGTGTGAATATGTGCTCTTGTCCATTCTAGAGCAGACTCAAGAGAGCATTCAGCGCTTTGAGCAGCAGGCAGGGCTGAGAGATGCTGGCTACACTCCCCACAAAGGCCTCATGACAGAGGAGACAAAGTATCATCGAGTGGCTGAGGCAGTCCATGTAAGGCATACCATTTGTATTTTGCATTTTATTTTGTTTTGTTTTACAGGCTGTATACTGGTTTAATGCCTCTCTGGTGACATAACTTTTGGAACTTGTTGCCAGGGCTGTCCTTGACTTGATGACTCTGATGGCTTTTAGCTTTTTGTAAAAGCATTGCCCACTTGTATTAAAGTTAGCCTTTACAGTTTTGAAACAAATGACTTTCTCTGAAAACTGCCATGTCCCACAGTCACCTCAAGACAGTTATAATCTTCTGCCCAAGTGGGGACTCTCCCATGTATCCCCATACGGAATCTAGTTTCTTGCTGTACTGTTGAATGGTGCTCAGCAGTTGTCTTTCGCAACTGTTTATCCCAGCACTACCTCTAAAGCGTTAACTTACAGAACGTACTAGATTTCTGGAGTCTGGTGGCAAATCTCTCTCAAGTTTCTCTCTGGGGTTACTTGTCTCCATTGTGATTCTTCTCTTAAGCCTTGGAAGAGGCTTGCTAGCTCAAAACCTTTGTTTCAAAAAAGCATAATTTGAAGTTGTTCAGAGCAGTTTCTCTTTTCTTTCATGTGATAACATAACTACTTTGAAAGGAAGGAGGTATTTGCTTAAGTGGATGAGGCATTCGCTAGCCTTCACTGTGCTGAAGAACACTAATATAGCGGGGTGGGGAAGGGAGAAGGCCTTTGACACTGATTTTAAAATCAATGTGTTTGAACTGTGAAAGGGCTTGCCAGTCCCATCCCTGAAGCAGGTAACTTCTAGAACTTTAAAGGTCCCACTGACTTTTTCCAGCTGAAGCTTATTTTGATAAATCTTGAACTGCCCTCATCTCTTTCCGTGCTACTTTCCCACAAGTTTTCAAGAAGCAAAGTACAGAAGGTTGTTCTTTATCGGATGTTTGTAGTGGTAGGTAAGAGTGATGGGTAGACTGAACTTAAAACTCTCTTCACGGTTGCCCAAGTCGTGCCAGCTCTCATTTGACTCTTGTAATGAAACCAGGTATTCCTGGTGCACTTGAGCAGTGGTGCTGAAGCTCTGGATCTGAGATCTTTGTGTTTTGATTTTTAGAGTGGACTGACTTTGCAGTACAAGTTAACCTCAAAATAAGTACAATTCTACTCTGGCTACCTTATGGCTAGAAACAAGCTAAATGATAGCACTTGTAAACCATGCATTTCCAATGTGGAAGTTGGAAGATGAAACTGGGCTTCTTTTTTAACTGCAAATAATGACAAAGGTCTTAAATCAACGTGTTTCTGATGAACTCATGGTTGCCCACTCCAATTGTGCGATTAAAATTAATATATTAATAGTGAATCCTCTGAGTGTACTCCTGCAAGGTCAAAGTTACAATAACAGTGTTAGTGAATTGCATTAGTGTGGCTTGGATAGCCACAGGAAACAGTCCGAGAAAGTGCCTATGTAGTCATTGTTTGAATTGTAACTGCCCTTCAGGTGACTTCTTCAAAGTTCAGTTTGTGCTATTTGAGTGACTTATAATAGCCTGTTTTACGTACACCCAGTTCCTGATTTTTATGACGAGGCATAGCCTTGAAATGCAGTTAATTTGAAAGGGTTCTGGAGCAATCCTTTCATCTTGTCATCAGCGGGTTACTTCTCAGGGTCCAGTAGGTCTTACACTTGTTATGCAAGGTCTGATCTCATCTTCATTAGAACTTGTAATGAACTGAAGCTGAAGGCTCTGTTGCTCTGAACAGTGCTGCAGGCAAACAGTTGTTGTGGCATATAGACTTGTCACCAGTTGCTGGGGTCACGGTGCGTTCTGCTGCGTTGCAGGCAACCCGCCTGTGAATGCGGATATTGAAGCAGTGCATTGCTGGTGGGTAGCAGCTCTGAATTGCAGAGTGAACAGCGTTAGTTTACTGCTTCTAACTTGGAGATATGGTTTGAGAGCATAGTGGACTTCCAGAATGTTTACATCTGACCTGGAAAGAAGCTCAAGGGCTGTATGCAAGTGCTGTAACACTGGGTTTAAGCTTTAGAAATAAGACTTAAATAATTTTGAAATAAGACTTAAATCCTTTATCACCTGTGACAGAAATAATTGTCCAGGTTTGATAAAACAGCCTACTGGCTATTTGTTCTTTACATCTTGTATTAATGTTCTGTTGCCTCTGTGTTTCTCTTGCCCCTCCTCACAGAAGTTAAAAATGCAGAGTGGAGAGATGACAAAAGAAGATAAACAGACTTCCTCTGCTCAGTCCACTCCAAGCAGCACTCCCCACTCTTCTCCCAAGCACAAAACGAGGTACTCCTGTTCCTGGCAGACCACTGCCTTGTTTAGTTTCATACAGGCTTGCCCATGAGGGACTAAGGGGTGACTTTCAGAGCTTTCTATCGATCCATTCTCGGATAGAACTGATCATGATGAAAGCTTATGGAACTTGAGTATAGCTTCATCCTGAGTGGTAAAAAGCTTATTACAAGCTCTTTTCAACTGCTTCTGGTAACTACAGGGAAAGTTTCTGGCACAGTGGGACCACCTGAAGTATTTACTCTTTTCATGTTCCATGGATCTTAATGATTTTTCCCTAGGGGTTGGTTTAGTCAGGGAGCCTCTGTTTCTATCGCTGGCCCTGACTTTGTTGCCATAGAAGCTGGTGGGGACAGATTGCCATCTGAAAAATGGAGCTTTTTTGGACCCAAAGCTATCCAGAAATCCACCAATGATCCAGGTATGTCCTCTAAGATCTCTTAAACTGCAAGAGTTTGGGGAGAACTTTCAAGCAGCAAACTCAGTGGCTACTTCTGGAGCCTTACTTTCTGCTTCCCTTGTTCGTTTCTGGGAGCACCTTGTGAATGTGTACCATTCATACCATTTCGGTACCTAAATGTAAAGCTGCTTGGTAAAACCCTCGGTCAAGGGTTTGAAGGTGTCAGTCACTTGCATTGAGCTACAGTGAAGACCAGGATGTGAAGGTGACGGCTTGTTGCTCAGCTGCTTTCTCTGTCTAGTGGAATCCAAACTGGAAGTGTCAGCCCCTGATGTGGAATAGGCTTTAAACGACATAAGGTTGCTGGGACTTGCATAGGCTTTTCTGCAGTGCTGAGTGTCAATGGTACTGCGCCCAGCATTGGTAGCAGTGGAAAGGGGCTTGGCTAGTTTCCCTAGCTCTTACTTGCTGTGATTTTTTTTTTTTTAATTTTTTTCTTCCATCAGGAGCATTTACCATCCAGTCCTATAAGGGTGCCCAGAAGCCATCTCCAATGGAGCTGATGCGTGCCCAGGCTACTAGGATGCCAGACGATCCAGTGACCTTCAAGCCACCCAAAATGGACGTTCCAGTCACAGAAGGGAGGAAACGATCTCCACGTTCCCATAATATCAAACCTCGGGATCTGAATGTCCTCACTCCAACAGGGTTCTAAGGATGCTACTAGTGTCTTTAGTGGATTAAAGAGTGTGTCTTAGGCTAGCCTTCCCTCTCCCATTGTGCTGCAGTAAAATAGGAAAGTCTCTCTTCCAGCTCTTCATCTCAGTAAAGGAAATGGCTGTCACCGTTCTTCTAAAGTCAACCCTGAATCAGTCTTTGAGAAACACCTGTGCTAGTACCCATGTAAACCATCCTGTCTGCTAGGCTGCACTGGGAGACATGCTTCCCAGTACAGTACGCTGGAGTAAAACCTTGAACCATGTTATGTGGGAGGGGACTGCCTTGTGGTGTGCAAGTAGACTGGCTTGTCTACCTGTAGTCTAGTTATCTTGTCCTGCTCAGTGCTGAAGTATCCTCAGGAGGACCATAGTTCTGACTGGCACGCGTGCAACACCAGCAGAAAACGAAGCAAACACAAGCCAGGAGTAAAATGGACCATTAACTGACTGAAAGAACTTACTCTGGGAACGTGGTAGGCCAACTTTAAATATGGAGTTTCCTTACTTTCCAGTGTCACCTTATGATAGTTCAACACTTAGTGCTTATTTATTTGTTCTTGGATTTTTTTTTAAAGGAAAAGCAGAGCAGTGACCATTACTAGAAAGGCAAGGAGCAGAACCTAGTGGATTTGGTAGTAAAGAGGAAGAACAAGTGCTTCTCTTCTAACTCTTAAAGCTCCTCCAAAAAATGGTGGAAATGACCAGAGTTGGTATGGCTTGAACCAAGTAACTCCTTCTTCCTTTCTGGATTCCTACAAAACAACACTGTCCTGCTTCCCTGTATAGAGCAGACTTAACAGTAGTTTTGACGCTCTCAGTGCTTCTTGATTGTTTCTTAGCATCTTGTAGGAATCGTGTGTAGAAGTGTATTAGACGCACCAGTGGCACTTCTCAAATAGGGCCTTTTGTTTCATCAGCATTAGATGCAGTTTGCCAGCCTGGGCAGGAGTGAGGGGCAGATTAAGGCTAAACATTCCTCCATGCTATATTGATAGAGCTATATATAATTTTTTTTGGCTTAGTCTTGCAAACAATTGCTGGAACAGCTACCACTTGCTATTCCTTTCCTGAAAATTGGGAAAGAAACTCTTATTATGTACCATCTAATCCCTTGAGCAGTGTAGGGAGGGATGGGTATGATCTCTGCCTGCCTGTGGCAAGCAGGTCTCCTCTGTTTTTTGATCCCATTATTGTGTTAGGCAGCGCTTTCAGCCAGCTGCAGGCTTCCTGTAGCAGTGAGGGGGCAGCCTTGCATCTGGCATTAGAAGCTTTTATGTTACAAGCACGTTCTACCGAGGTAGCTTAACTCGTGGTAACCACTGAACTCTGGGGTTACTGCCTGCTCGAAACAAGCATTCCTGCCTGGGGCAAGTGGTCAAGGTACTTGGCTAGCTGGTATCCCCCTCTGAAGAAGCATATTTTGGCACTGCTGTTGAAGCTTGAGATGAAGCAGTCACAACAGTGTATTGTGTGGAAAGCCTCCCACCCAACCAAGCAGTTGTCATTGTCGCCAATCACTCACACCTTTGCAAATGGAGAATCTCTGGTTTGACATTAATTTATTTGTGGTCTTTATTCATGTCTGTGTCCAATTTTGTTTGTTACAAGAAAATAAAATCCTTGGGAATGGAGAGCCTTGGTGTTTGTCAGCGCTGGTAAAGCACCTGTGCAGGAAACCTGGAGCTGTTTTAACTTCCACCATGCCTCTTGCTGCTGGCTAGTGAGTGTGGGGTTAAGGTTCAGCTTAACAATGCAGTGGTAGCACTCTTGCTGAGGTAAAATTTGCTGCATGAAATTCCCTTTTGACAGGGAGAATAGGTTTAAAGCCAGACTTGGTCTTGTCTTGTCTCAGGCCTTGTGATGATGAAACTAAATCTGAAATCTTTTTACTTTCTCACGCTGTTCAAATAGTCCCCGCTGTTCTTGAGATTGCTTCTCTCGCAGCTTGTGTCGTGCGTGTACCTGTACTGTGGAGGTGGGCACAGATGTGGGAAGCAGGCTGGTATTCATCTAGAGGTGCCCTGCTCTGTGTGGTGTAGCTGCCTCTCTGCTTTGCCTTCCTTGGAGATGTTGTGGCATTCATATCTGCCAAGGTACCCTTGTAGAGCTGATAAACGGGGGCCTGTGCACACGGGGGCTTGCCTGGAGTGGAGCTGACTGACATGAACACGTGTTCCCAAAATATCAACAGAGCTAAAAATGGTGAAATAGAGCCTGAAGCACACAGGTATTCTGGTGCTGTCTGTGCTGCTGCAGGTCTCTGCTACACGGGCTATTCCTGTAGCCCTTTGGAAGGGCTTCGGTTTAAGGGTGGCCTCTTGGTGTGATATGCTAACACACAGCTTTCTGTATTTTGCTCAGGCACCCTTCCTGGTGGATAGAAACTGGAATTAGGTAAATGATTAAAGGTTTAACTGAAAAATAGATTTAAATGAGCGCACCATGGAGGCAGAACAGCTTCCTGTAGAAAGGAGCACTTGGGGTGTATGTTGGCAGTAACGCTTCTGGCCTATTACTCCACACACACTCCCTCCCTTCTCCTGCTATGGCTTATCGCTGTGTTAGAAAGAGGGGAGATTCTCTAAAGAACAAGGCGCAAACCCTCTAGCCCTAGGTTATGTCCGGCTCTAACAGGCCCTTCCAGACTGCTCAGGCCTCACTGAAGCCAGACGCCCAGACAGGGTCTGGCTGCATACCAGGCACCAAGTCTTCAGTATGGAAAATGCTGAAATATGGACTACTGCATTCCTGGCTATGGCTGCAGTGCTGGATATCCCTGGACTCTGGTCTCCTCATAAGGCTGTTAACCCTAGCATCTGTGGAGTATGTACTGCAAAATGGCTGGGCTGGACCAAAGGTCACCTAGGCCAGGGGCAGATGAAGGAGTGGAGGGCAGGTACAAAGTAAGTCTTTCCTCTGCCTGCAGGGGCATGAATCTGTTACTGCTGAACTGTCCAAAGGGTCCTTCCATGGAAATGTTTAACTGCTGTCTGACCTCAGCTGTAACAATTGGCATCTGAGGTGGGTTGCAGTGGACTTGAATTTAGAGATTTGTGGTTCATTCTGCCTGCTGGATTAGATGTGGTGCCTGTTCTTTGAGCACAAGACCTGAGTAATGGTAGTCTTCATGACAACATGCAGGCTTGTCTGCGCTGCAGGTGCTGGAGTGAAGTCTGCAAGAAGTGCAGCCTTTTCAGCTGATGCTGCTACCTGTCCTTCCTACTGACCCGGCTAATGAACTTGGGCAGAGCCCTGTAGTTGTATTCGATTTGGAATGGGAAAGTTCATTCCCTGCCTGAGGACTGACCAGCATGAGTTGGGGATCTCTGCACTGTTAACACCCTCACTGCCATGCACACCTGGGTTTCTCTGAAAAGAGTATTAACCTTTCCTAAGTACTGGACAGGTCCTAGCACTGTGCCTGCTGTGCAAACTGTTGTCAAAGTTTATGGCCGCTTTAGTCTAGCGCCATCCTTGGGTACAGCTGCAGAAGTCGGAGCTGAGCGCTTCCATTGGGCAGGGCTGGCACCAAGATGGAAGAGTCTCAGGAAATACGAAAATAATTTATTTTTTAAAAGTGTACAAAGTGCCTTGTAAAACTGTAGGACAAGAGACAAGTTTGAAAGGAAGCTCTGAGACCAGGCAAATCAGAGATTTTTTCCATACAAATGTATAAACAAAACCACGTGATGGATGGCAGTGCAGGTTGCAGCATAAAACAGAGGGTTTTGACTGCATAGCTTGTAAAGGAAACACGAGGTTCTTTGTGCCCTTTGTCACAGAACTTGTCTCCATCACGTGGCAGTGACGATGAGGAGCAACTCTCGGAGCATGCACACTTTCTCCTCGATCTGCAGGGGGAAGGGCTGCCCCAGGACCTGCTGCAGTCGGCTAAGGAAGTCCTCTATTTTCAGGTGAATGTCCAGCTGGGTGGTGTCATCATCATCCTGGAGCCTGGGCCTGGCCTTCTTAATGATTAAGTCCATCCGCTCGTTGAGTGCACTCTGTAAGTGCCCTACAAGAGGAAATGCTGGTGGCAAGAGGCAATACACAAAAGGGCATTGTTTGACTTGTTCAGGGACAGACAGCAGCATGCCCCAGGCAGTGCTGCCCTGTGGTGAAAAGCAGTCGGGGACAGTGTGCAGACCCTTTCCTGGTAAGCCTGGATGGTTCTGTATGAGACTAGGCAGGGGGAGGAAGGAACTGTCACCTCCTGGAGCTCGGTCTGGTACATGGAGAGGCCAAGAAATGGGGAGGGGGCTGTAACATAGTTTCCTCCTATGCTAGTGGCAGTCTGGACAACTATCCAGCTGGAGAGGAGAGTCTCTAAAGAACTTCTCAAATAGTGCTCTTCTGAGGGTTTCAGGCAGCAAGGGAAGAATAGGATTCTCTGCCCATATGTTTGTGGCTTCCTCTGTATCCCTCCATGAGAACCTCAACCTGGTCTCAAGCAGCTGAGGCTGGGAGGAGATTTGAGCAATTTTCCAGTAAAACTGAACTTTAGGGACTACCTTTTGACTGTGCCGCCCTCCTGGGGCTAGAAATATTGCTCCTTCCAGGGCTACTGTGGGTGGCACTCCCTTCCCAGTCTGGTAAGTGTAGAGTGAGCCCTGGCTTCACTACCCCTTCGCCTTCTGCTTTTCCTCTTAAAAAAGGAGCCTATTCTTCCACTCACTCTGTGTGCAGCTTGGACAGCAGCTGGTGCGAAGCACCTCCTTGCCTACTTCCCAATGCTGTGGTTGATCCTTTAAGAAGGAGGCTATTTCTCAGGGGCTAAACTTGGCAAAACAGTTTGTGCTCTCTTCTTGATGTAGCCCTGCAACATCATTTCTTACCCTGGCTGTTGGGAATAGTTACCAGCAAGGACTGAGATATATCACCTTTCTAAGACTCAGTGGCTGAGAGTTCATTCGAGCATGATGTGAAGAGAGGAGGAAGTATGCTTTAGGCTGTCCTGCTGCAGCCTCCTGATTAGATAGTGTGCACTGAGGTCAGAACAGGCTGCTTACCCAATACTACGTTTTGATAACTCAACAACAGCAAGCTCAAGTACTGCAGCATCTCATCCCATCTTTCCCATGTTGCCACTTCTTCCTATGAGAGGAGGCAGTATTTGGTTATTAGAAGAGGTTTTCTCCCGAGAAAAAAAAATACAAGGGCGAGGATGGACTAGATACCTGGTATTGCAGCAGCACAGAGCAGTGGCTCAGGAAAAACAGGATCTTGGCCAGAGACAAGGGCATGTTTGTGGGCACTTTGCAGCTGTGCTGGAACATCAGCTCTAGCACTTTGCAGCGCAGGAGCTGGCTGTCCATGGTGTTTAAGAAGGCTTCCCTGAAAGACAAAGGGCTTTACCAAGGGGGAGACAGCACCACCTCACCAGGAACAACTGCTCTCGCATGTTCCTGGGGTCCTGCTGGTGCTGCTCCTGAGCAGATGTGGGGTGACTGTAGGGGGCTGCCCAGCAGTGCAGTGGAAGCAAAACCACCAGATGTGATACAAAGACCTTCATTATACAGCTTGGCCACAGACGTGTTCATGCCATTAGGTCTGACCTGTGACAACTCGAGGTCGGTACGGTCTGTGAAACAAGCTTAGCTGCCTT